AATTCACGCGCATATATCGACATCGGGGTTGACTCCAGTCACTTGATTTTTTGGTTGCAGTCATTAGTCAATGTACTGAAAACAATTAATTAAGTTGCTGGGCGACAGCACGCATCCAGAGTCGGATTAATACAAATAGAAATCACACAGAGTTTTAGCTTGTATTGGGTTACGGTACCGAAGCATACCGCTATGGTTTGTATGACACCAGGGAACTGACTACATGCTGGCATGATTGCAGTTCATAAGGACTTCCGGTAGTTTTTGATTCAGTATTTTTATTAAGTTTTCTTGAAGGTCATGTAGCCATGTGACTCCATTTCACGCGGAATATAGTTCCGTATTTTGATACCTGTGTACTTAATTGAATTTTGTGTTTTCACAAAAGAATACCTTGGCAAAATAATTACCACGCGCAGCAGATCGGGTGTAATGTGTGAAACACTGCTTAGTGAAATATTTGTCAAATGCTTGTGGTAGGGATTTATTTTGGTGTTGATACATTAGTTATGCAATTTCAAACTAGAATGAAGTTGATTATTTGAGTTCTAGGTGCTGCATTGCAAAGAGATTCAGCAACTCCATTTTGTAAAACAATATTTTGTCGTAAGTATTTTTGTGCAGCATCGCCCCATGCTGAGCATATGATTGGAAAAGTGAAAAGTACACAGATCGCAGGGCTGATATCGGCTGTCGACATGTATGTTTGGAGCATGTAGGTGATACCTACTGCTCTAGGTATTTTTTTCACCGCATGCTCAATATGTTTGTTCCATTTTAGGCCGGAATCAATATATGTATATTCCAAGAAAATTATATTATGAAAATACGTTTTCTAATTTGGTACCATTTATTCAAGTGACTGGAGTCAACCCCGATGTCGATATATGCGAGCCGATTTAGTTGGTATAAAACATGCTTCGTGTTTCACCCTGGAGACCATTCCACCCTTATACTTGAATGATTGTTGGGTTTTCGTATACCGTAAGTCTGACGGGGTACATAAAATGAAAAGGAAGAAGCAGATCTAGTGTTATGGTGGTGAACACTGTATTGCTTGGTGAAATAGTTATTGTTAAAGTTATAGTCAAATATTTTATATGGCAAAAGTCTTACAGTATTATAATATAACTACTACATTTCGCAGCAATCATAGTCAAGTTTATTTTTTCCCCTTCAGTAAAAAATAATATACGAAGTTAACAAAATAAAAAACTGAAAACACATTTTTACTGAGGAAGGGAAGTCGCGGGGAACCAGGAATGGGTATATGTGGAGATTTATACCAAGACCCCGCTTGTTGGAAATTTTTTTGAATGACCAAGTTTTTCATCGAGTAGCTTTTTTTATTTCAATCTTATGACTCATTTTAAATCATGGTGTCGTAGACTTATGATGACCATTTCTTGTCCTCATCGACCTCCTGTCAATTGCGATGAAATCCGTTGCTGTATTGTATATTAAGTTGTGCTTTGAATTTGTGTATGGTTTCTTGCATGACGAAATAAATGTAGTTTCTATTGTCAATAGATAAAAAATTTAATCGTTGCAATTGTACAGAAGGTGGTGAACTATTCGTATAACTAAAGTGTATTAATTGAATTTTCCCGACTTGTATTTTTTCTCTCTCAAATGCTATATGAAGATTTATATCAATCCCTACCTTGTTGGTAATTTTTTTTTTCTCTGTGTATTTATTGCTTTCTTTTATCTCAATTTTTACTTTTGACTCGTCTTAAATCTAGTTGTCTTTCAATATGGTGCATATTGCTTATTTGCACCTATGACCAACTCATTCTATGACATCACAATTGACCTCTTTCGTACTCAACGACGTACTATTTATTCTATTGGAGTTATGGTTGTCATCGAGTAAGCGCTTGCATATTATGTCTTTGTCTATAACTGCTAATAAATGATCCTCCGTTTCAAAGAACTCAATTACGAATGTAGAACAACATTCGACAGTGTCGCAGACTTATGATGACCATTTCCGGTCCTTCGCGACTTCCTGTCCATTGCAATGAAATCCGTTACTGTAATGCATAAATTTGTTTTGTATTTGTGTTGGGATTTCTTGCACGACGAAATAAACGTATTGTCTATTATACGCGATTCACGAGAGGAAGGAAACAACGCACGAAGCCTGTAACCACGCGGTATGCTACAGCATTCAAAAAGTTTTGCAAAGAATTTCATTTTGCCAAGGATAATTGTGAACAAGGAAATCTTTCGTTTTACATTCGTTAACACCCTATTCACAATATACATCGAAAGTTTTGAACAAACTGTTTGATGTATCTATTGAATGTTAAACAAAAGATTTCCTTGTTCACAATTAACTATGTTGATGTTGCAAGTTGCAACTTGCAAGTATTCTTGTTGCTATTGTGAAAAAAATTCTCTACAGCTTCTGGACCAATTGCTTTGAGATTTTCAGTGGTTAAACATTGTTGTTGTCGCCAGAAAGGTGTTTTATTTATTCAAAAGTTTTATATGAAATCTGATATTTCATCCAAAATTTCGGTTTTATTTTTATTCACGGGACACGGTTCTATTCCGCCAAGGGTTTAGGTCAGAGCTGTCCTCGGGTTTGATTTTACGAACTCGTGATACGCGAAAGTCAGAAGGTTTTTGAGACGGGTACAGCAGGCGACGGTGGGTCTAGTGTAGTGTACTTCCAGTGGGCGTAACAACTTTCACACATGTCATCCCTGACCTCCACCTGACTACGACATACAAGAATTACGTCCCTATGCCTCCGAGAACACGTCAACACGAGAAAGATAGCTGGCTTCAGTGAGTTTATTGTCATAAGCGTCATTACGGGCTATATTTTAGCAGGCTATATTACGTGATTGTGACGTCATTTTGGGGTGACGTAGTCAGGAATGAGATATGCAAAATTTGTTACACCACGGCCACTAGAAGTTCTTAAAGTACTACACTAGACACACAGGTACGCCTACCATTCCAGTTTCGTTCAGGATATGGTTTGGGGGAAATTGTGGCTAAAATAATTCATTTTGGCCTTGATCTCTTGTTGTTAGAAAGAATTAAGGTCAGTTTTATTATTAATGTTTATCACTTGTAATCCGGTATGATTTTTTCTAGTCCTTCAATTTTATATATCTGACAATGAATTTGAAAATAATCCACGAAGGCGAAAAGGTTTCATGGCCGTTATATGTCATAGCATCAAATATAAAGTTGTTATAAGACAGTGGTTCTTAACCCTTATAACCATACAAAAGCGCATGGCTAATCAAATTTATTGAGTAAAAATTTCATGAATTCTCTTAGGATCTTTTGTACAAAGCCTCTGCCGAATTAGGGTTAGGAATGCAGATATGGCCCGCGGGCCACGGGTAGGACGACCCTGTGTTAGGCAAAGTGTTCGTGTTTTAATGGTGTGACTAGGCGGTCATGTGATTATTTCATTTGTATTGGAAAGCTCGTTGTATTTTTATTTGTAAAGTCCATTCAAACTATGGAAATAAACTGCAGACTTTCAATTGTCGACAAAACGTAATTTCTCCATCGGTATTATTGTAATGAAAAAAAATATCTATGTTTGTTTTTTACTACATGGACGCGGGTGTTTTCTTTCTGTATCTTTATGAAAATATAACCTATATTCGTCGTAAAAACTTTTTGTATAATGTAATTTCTCGGTCCAATGTTTTCCCGGGGTACACTGATCCAAGGGACCAATCCAATAACGCGTGCAATCCGTTAGCAAAATCTCTCAATTAGCATGTAGACTACAAATTGCTCATCGCAAATTCTGGCAACCGAGAAATTTGCTGAAAATTTTTACTGCAGTTTACTGGTCGAATATCGGAATTTTGAAAGTTTAGAACTTATTTAGTATATATATATAATGATAGAGAGAGAGATAAGGTTTGTTCAGGCTATTCACGCGTTTTTATATTTAATAGCAATAACAGTACCTACAATTAATATTTGATGAACACCATGATATTGCCCTTTTTCTTCATTTACTTACTCCTATCAGACGCATATCCGACGAGGGGTTTTGAGCAAATCAAAGACTCCAACACAGGAAAGCCAAATTTCATAAAACTAATCATTACTGCTATAAACGACCAAAATGAAGAAAGTGCGTGTACCATTTAGTATAGTTTTTGCACGTATGTTGAATCAATATTGCAAAGATGTGATTGTATTGATAATGCAATCGTAACGTCTTCGACCTATTTTGCAAAATTTCACGTTTAGTAAACAACTCTTGAGGTGAAAACATAATGCTATTCTTTGGGCCTGAATTTTTTTTTTGTGACAGAAGTTAGTATGTTTGTATGATAGCGACAGATCGTCACGAATTAGCAACAGCCTCCGCTTTAAATACAAAAGCAAATATCAATTTAGTTGTCCAGATTAATTGTTGTCTGGATTATCAAATACAAACAATGAACCAAACTATTTTATGCATTCTTATTTGGTGTCCGGCTTGGTTGCAAATCAAAACTCCGCCTATTGAATGTATCCATTTCTTTTCTTTATCATTGCCTTTCATGCGTGGGTGATGTATAAAGAGCATAATTATTCTTTAGACATGGTTGTTCAATCGCATTTTGAACAGTTATCCTGTGAAGAAGTTTCATGTGGATGCAGTGCGGTATAATCTGATGATATAATATCATCATATAGATGCAGTAGAACAACGAGCATGATATCTGTTCGTGCTTCAATAGTTTGTGTTGTTGGCCAGGGTACCGCGCTACACTCTACTGCAGAAAGAAAAAACTTCAGATGCCAACGTAGGAATAACTGTTTGTATAGTCTGTGCAGAACGTTTTGTGACGTGTGCTGAGGAAATGTTTTTGAGACATGATTATGTTCTCAAAGTGCCATTGCATGATATTCTGCAATTGCACTGAGCGTTTTACTACCGCGTCCCACTTTAATATTATTTTCTGATATCGTAAAATCGTCTTAGTTCTTAGATTGACAGAAGCTCATTTACATTTTATGCATCTGTGTATCTTGTGCTCAGTTGTAGCTACGGCAATTCTAGTGGCATAAGCTTTTAATGGATCTGTTCATCCTGTATTTAGTTTTATATTAGCTTGATTCTCCAATTGTAACGGATATGAAGTGCTGCAGAAGACGTGAAAAGTGTGATGAGGCAGCTGAAGATAACATCGAATCAGAGAATGACCTTTTGTATTCGGTGGACGAAACACCACCATGGCATTTATGTATGCTATTGAGTCTCCAGGTAAACTTTTGTATACAAGTAGTGATTCAGGTTAACATTCATTATATCCTTTCGTGTTCTGCGGATTTATTTTTATATACAATATGGATAAGTGGTTGTAAATCCGAACCTTCCTCATTTTTATAGTTCAAAATAAATGTGCGCAATGTGTCCTTGATTACTGTATTTGGATTAAAATTTTTACTTGCAGCATTTCTAATTCTTACTAAAAAAACTCCCGGAGATAATCGACGACCGCCAAACACGCAATTTATTTTATTAATCACTAATGCTGCAAATACTCTTGGGTTATTTCATATATTTTAACTTGATAACTAATTCCTATTTGTCATGGAACGCGTAAGACTGGTTTGTATTCAGATTTTTCAATAAATTTTTCAAATCACGACACTGTATATATTTTAAAAATTGTGGTACATTCAGGCGTTTCCATGTACATACTTGCAAAACAAAAATTCCGTTAATTCCGGTTCTTGGAAATACTTTTTGTGTTCGACTTCGTATTTTTGACTTCTGCAGAGTTATCCAAAAACCGGGCACGTTTGCAATATGCACTGATAGATAGTTCTGGGCACCTTTCTAATGCGAAATGATGGGCTTAAAATTTGAAGTAATCACACTCATCCAATGCGTTTACATGCGTAAATTGAGGTCTTCGTTATGTTATGTTTTCATTTAAAATACATCATTACCGTTAATTTCAATGATATGCATGAACGTTTTAAATATTTCATCTCTATATTTCATCAGACAACACTGGTAAAGATCCTTGTTTTAAAGAAAAGAACGCCCTCACTGCATTGTTTTCTCGTTTGTCTTCACGAGACGGTATTGATTAATTCCCATCGTTCTCTCTCTTTCAGTGCAGTTATGTTTGTATTCGTCATTTCCTATATATATTCTTACATTTTAGTGTAAGGGGTTTGGCACAAGGCGCCGGGAATACAATATAGAAAAAGACCAATACAAGCGATTTATTGCACCTCCTACATCTTATATTTTATACCTATTTAGCACCTCACTTTGAAAAAGGCTATCCAGAAGCAGTCAGCGTGAAATAAAGAGCTACCATATATCTAGCTATCGATAATATCGGAATCATACCACAGTCCCCAACAACCAACACCAAAAAATCTTGCGCCAAATATCTTCAAAACTGCAAAGTCAGCATGAATGAGCCCAAATTACTAAACTAGGCATTCTTTCTCTTACTGAATTTGTTTATAAGATTTAACAAGGACTATCTATGAATGTCAACCAACTGAATTCATTCCTGTTAAATGAGACATTAATTTCACACCAATCATTGCTTTTCAGCAATACCTTATGACGATAAGTGGTGTTATAATGCTTCCACTATTGGTGATGAACGTCATCTGCTTCGACGACAGTCCAGCAGCGAACCTTGCGCGAACAAAAGTTCTGGGCACAGTTTTAGTTGTTTGCGGAATATCTACGCTATTACAAACAACTCTTGGATTGAGGTATTTTTGATCGAATATTACTATTTATTCCGAAGAATTAGGTGGAACAGACGACCGAACCACGGCTTCACCTCTTGCTACCATTCCGTGTCGGAAATCAGTGTAGTTAATCATGAAAGCAATAAATGCATGATCGTCGTTAACTTGTCAATGCAACCTATCATACCATGGTTGACTGAACCACCTAATGGCACTTCCTAATCGGTTATTGGTTTGAATGAAAAGATTTGTCAAATGTAAAAAAAAATTCGAAAATATTAATCAAATTATTAATGACCAATCAAACTCATATTCATAGTTTATTTTTTCGATGGTTAACTATCAGCTACCTAAACCAACTGAGCATTTAAACAAAATTTTTAAACACTTTGTGCTTTTCAAACCTATCTATATTTTCATTTCCCTCATTTGTTACAGACTTCCAACATTTCAAGGTATTACAATCGCGTACTTCATCCCAACCGTGATAATCATGGGAACTGATAAATGGAAGTGTCCGGCACCTATTAACTTTAACTTATCTTCTTTGCCTGCTAATTTGTCAGTATTTTCAGTGGATACTAACTCATCTTCGAGTCAGCATCTCACAGATCATTCTTCTAACATGACGTTAGAAATCGACACGAATTATTATCATTATTATATTGATAACGATGGTGAATTTGTAGACAGCAACGAACTGTGGGCGAAACGTATACGAGAGGTCAGTAAGGCACAGTTAAACGAGAAGATTGACCAAGTTTATTTTTGACCGACCGATGTAGACATTGATTAAATAAACTTTCAAAATACGACTTCAGTCATCCTGTTTATTGTGGATGCTTTGCAATAATTACCACCGGAACGAATTAAATATATAAGGAATATTTTCGGTTCACCAACCACCCGTTTTTTCTACTTTTCTTATCCCCTGCCAGGCATTAAAGCTTTATTGTTGTCCAGCCCAATTGTGGAAACAATCAGAATCAGTGGTTCGCTGAGATGCGACCACGGGTGCATCTAACTCTCGTCTGAGGGCTGCGCTGTTGACGTAATTATTAATTTGACAACATTAAGACTGAGACGGTGCTGCTTTTGAAGCATTTCTCTAAAATAAACACACTAAAATCTTTCATTTGTTCTTTTTTCATAATATTTCGTTCCGAACATTTGACGTGGAAAATAACCAAAACTACACATATTTACTAATATCGAAACTCACCGGGAAGTGCACTTACATATTACTATTTTATTTATTGGATATTTTGTGCAGGTTCAAGGGGCAATCATAATAAGTTCTCTTATACAAATATTCATCGGGTTCAGTGGATTTATTGGATTCGTCATGCAATATATTGGACCTCTCACCATCACACCCATCTTGGTATTAGTGACGATATCACTCAAGGAGATCACTGCCGCTCAAGCCAGAACACAATGGGGAATTGCTCTTCTGTAAGACCAGAAGCATATTTCTATTGTTTATATAATCATTCAATTCATATACAGTAACGCAAAATTAACAGAAGTTAATATTAAATGCTACTTGAAACGTTTAGCGACTAACACCCTTTAACAGTATATCAAATTACGATGTACTGCCATTTAAACATTTCACGCCTGACGTTTCTTAACAGTTACATTTTTGACCTTGCCACGACGAAAAATTTGATCCTAATTTTTGCGTAACTTTTTTAACACACTGTATATTTGATTCATTTCCAAGTCATCCTCCGATAAAGATGAGCTAAGATTTAAAATATCAATAATATTCCCAATGCGGTGGAGCCGATACTATTTTGTTGTTATCAACGTGAGTTTGAATGGATATAGAAATTGAACTAATGATCTTTAACATGTATGACCCAAATAGATATACCGGCGTACTAATAAATGGGTCATTAGCTTATTGCGAGTGTTGGTCTCTGGTTGATCTGGTGAATGTTTACTGAATGAATCAATGTATGTCACTAGACCAGGCGCGCGTTGTTTTGTTTGTTGACGCGTTGAGTGACATGTTTATTGTTTTCCAGATTCGTGGCAATTTTTATTCTCTGCAACATTATTTTAAAGAAAATCACTATTCCATTTCCATTGATGCATCCACACAAAAAAACTTTAACAACAATGAAAATACCCATTTTTGAAATGTTTCCGGTAAGTTTTTGACCTAAATTCAAACGTTTGAAGATTAAACAATACAAGTCCTATAAAACATCAACTCGCGGAAAAATTCTAGAGATTGTAGGTGAACCCTATTGACAGTTAAATTTCACATGCTATATAATCTATCAGAAGAGTGGTTCCTTAACTAGGTGCCGCGACCCACAAGGTGGTCGCGAAGGTGTTGATAAGCTGTAAAAAATTAATCCATCGATGGTTATCGTTTTTTATCAAACCCTAGTGAAAATACTTTAAGGTGAACTTTTTTATTTCTACGTGCTGGTGACAGAGCCAAACAGGTGATTTTTCTTCTCAAACATTGAAACAACTTGTACATAAGTATTACCAATCTAATACCCAGGAAATAATATTACCTATGTGCCGAGAATATTGCAAACGTTTCAAAAGTAAAACCCGGAATATGAGCTGTGGTGTTGACAAGAACGATCCCAGCAGGAATATCGATTATGTAATAATGATAAAGTTTACTTATGATGAAAAAAAGCGCAGGAGGGAAATTGTGTCGGCACTTTTGAACTGACGTGATATCAAACCTAGTCGAGAGTCCGCAACGTGTGTTTTTCAGTGTCGATATTAGCTCTGGCTACAAAACCAAGTATCCCGAATACGCAACAACAAATTTAGAACACGCATATATGACTAGCGTTCCCAATACTATTTCCATTTGCCTATTCGCATTTGTCTCTAACAAAAACCCAATTCCAAATTTGTCGATGGAAATGCCATTGCAGTCGTCACTTCGACCAAGATGCTGTTTGATGAAAATTAAACTACACCAAATTCGTTTTACTGCTTACAATGTACATGTATTACGAAAATCGGTCAAGGCTTCGCCATATGCTTGAATGACGTAATTAGGGGATCTTAAACCAAAAAAAGAATGGTAACCGCTATATATATAAAAAAAAATCGGGCGCAATGTTGGGTTTTATGTACAAACGGGGAATTCTTCGGACTGCATTTTAATGGGTATACTTTTTTGGGGGATGCGGTATTTTATTGATGTAGTTTCAAGAGGTGTAATCGGTAGAGTACGTTTCTACATGAAATGAAGTAAATATATGTTAAATGTACAATTTAGTAGCTGTTGACACTGTTACTTCAACTTGAATATATGATGTAGTTCTGTGTACAAAACATGCTGACGGCAAACGAGCACATTTACAAGTTGAAATTCGGAAGTTTACTATCTCTCAGTAAACACTGTAGTGTATGTACAGAGTTAGGTACTATTTCGTCCCCATATGACTGGATCGATTGTCGCGAAAATATTGTACGAACGTGCAAACGCATTCCGTGTAAAATCAACATTTCTTATCTAAGCAATATTTCGTAATATGTGGCCTAAACGGTATTAACATTATCGACCATGATCATGTAAATGTGTGTGGCAAAAAAGTTCAAAATATAATTTTAATAAACAAAAACAAACGGTCATCATTGACACCGATTCGATGCATAGATGTAGGTCAATTTCAGGCCTAACAAAGTTCTATAGGAAGACAAGACATGGGTGGTCGAGCTTCAACATGCTGCTCATGTTGTTGTTGTTGTTGAAAATTACCAAAAAAAGAGATTGCAGAAAAGGACGACATCGGGTACAAATACCGAAATACGAAAAAAAACTTGAAGAGAAATCGCAACAAAAATATAGCATTGATGCATTCACTTGTCCGGTCAGCAATGGCATTGAGAAGTCGCAATATGTGTTTTGTAGTATATATGTATATTAGATGTATATGCTTTACATAAAAGTGAAGAATTTGAAGAAACTCCAGCGCATATTTTGCAAATTCGTTAAAAATATTTCACTGTGTTTCACTTACAATCCATCAATAATTTATATATCATACAATTTTGATACTGACAAAATAACTTTTATATCTCAGTTGCAAACTAATTTTTTTTTTTTTTAAACAGATTCTGATTGCAGTAGTGACAACATGGTTACTTTGTTACATTATTACTGTTGCTGGTGGATTTCCAGATGATCCTACAGTCCCAGCTTACCAAGCAAGAACTGACACAAAACCTGGAGTAGTTTCAAATAGTCCATGGTAATAAAATTGCTTTGCATGAGCATATCACTAGTGGGAGCGGTGGTCAGGTGATAACTCGCTGGGGCTTCTTATATTGGTGTCGGCACTTTAAGTTATCGCATTGAAACACCACGTAACTATAACATAATCCATGGTGTAATAACATGGATGGTTTGTGTTCCAAATTAACAATTTTTTTTCTTCAAATTAACATTGTATCTTCATGCATAAGATGGCCAGAATCTTATCGGCGGCGAATGTACGTTATGTGAAACGAATATCACAAATCAATGCAGATGAGATGTGATACCATTTCAAGTTGTTTTCTTCCTTTTAGGTTCCGGCTACCATATCCTTTCCAATGGGGTACTCCAACATTCAGTGTGATTGCCGTATTTGGAATGTTTTCGGCGATTTTTCCAGGAATATTTGAGTCACTTGGAGTATATATGACATGTAGTGAAATGTGTCGCCAGCCTCCCCCACCGAAACATGCAATTAACCGGTTTGTGCGTTTCATCGCATTTAATTTTTCAACGATTCTATACCTACGATGACATTTTATTAAAATACCAGTTCACCAGCCACTAAATGTCTGTTCACATTATTGGCCCGTGTAAAACTCTGAACAAAATCACGAGGCAAGGCAAAAACCGTATTCAACCTTCTCAACGTATATCCTAGTTTAAAATTCATAACTGCGGCAATAAAACTTTAATAAATTTTAACGGTCAATTAAAAAAAATTGACTGAATCGACAAAAGCCCTCGAAATAAATTACATTTCAAATTTCAGGGCAGTTTTAATGGAAGGATTTGGTATGTTTTTCGCTGGACTTTTTGGAAACGGAAATTCCACAACATCTTTTATGGACAGCGCAATTGCAGTTGGAATTTCAAGAGTTGCTAGCAGAAGAGTAAATATTTATACTTTGATCACAAAAGACAGAATTTTGAAAACATAATTTAAGAAATGCCGGGGAATAAATTTTGTCTTTCCGTGAATAACACAATTGTTGCTGTAATTTTATTATTCAGACCTGTGTAAAACACATAAATGGAATTGAGCGGCATTAGTTCTTCGCTATAAAACAGTGTAACTATTCTATCACGTTCAGGTACTGCAAGGAACTGGGTGCATATTGATATTCACTGGTCTGTTCACGAAATTTTGCAGTTTGTTTGTTTCTTTACCAAGTCCAGTGATCGGCGGTGTTCTACTTTCTGTTCTGGGCATGATAGCATCAGTTTCTATAGCTATGTTGAGAACAGTAGATTTGAAAAGTATAAGGTATTCATTACTTATTTATTTACGCTTTATTGAATAACGTCACCATTAATACAATACAATCTGATTTCATTTTACAGGAATTTGTTTGTATTGGGTTTCAGCATATTCTTTGGACTGGTCGTTTCGGTTTACGCCGCTGATGGAATTGAGGATATTGACGTCGGCGTTCCAGAAATAAATAATGTGATCGCGATTTTCCTTCAAATACCGATGTTTATTGGGGGCGCTGTGGCGCTAGCTTTGGATAACCTGTTGCCAGGTATGTGAGCTGATTATTACTTATCGATTTGAATCGGTAAGTATGTTGATAGGTATTTGTCTGTTTATCTGTCTGTTTTTCTGTTAGATGCACGCAATATCTCACGAAAACGAGATTGAATCTGCTCCAAATTTTGTATGTGCATTCATCATATGTCGGACCAGAAGCCTATTGATTTTAGATGAATGATGTCGTATAATTAGCGAGTTATCAATTAATTAGTAATGGGACACAAGGTGTCACTATGGAGTAAGAGCGCTGTTTTGGGGATCCCTAACTTTCGATCGATAAGTCTTCGGTCTCTGACCGATATTCTCGTCTAATTCACAGCATTAACCGAAAAAAAATTAACATGAGCACAATTTTAGAAAGGAAAAGAGTTGTTTAATTCGAACTTTTGCTTTCATGTATTTGTTCCATAATGTAACCACACGAAGATATTTTTAACAACGCGTATATTAACATAGGATTCAATTGTTCATATATAAATTATTACGACTCAAATTTTCCAACTTGAAGATTGTAATCAGATCCTTCAGCAACAATTAATTTATTCATTCATGTGCAGCTGCTGGTTGTAAATGTTTTCGATATGCTGACTTGTTGCTGAAGATGCCATTATTGCAAATTACACATTTGACAAAGTTTGAAATGAGTTTAAAGGTCTAGCAGGTTTTCAGAGTAATTTATTTAGAATTGAGTGGTTGTAATAAAATTGAGCTATGCTGCAACTGATTGAGGCATATATTTATATATGGTAAAGCTTTTTTAGTTTATATAGTGAGAAGCAATCCGCGCATTGATGACTTCTAAATGGCGATCACAGCCGCCATAAGAAAAAGCAATTGAGATAATAACGCGTTTGTAATCTTATATATTCTTCACAGGCTCTAGAGAATCACGAGGGTTATTTCATGACCAAATATCTTCAGAAACTAAAGAAATGGAGGCTTATGATCCTCCATGTTGTGTTGGTGTAAAAGGTTTGAGATTGCTGCCGTTATGTCCTGATTTTGTTGAACCGACGGTGGAAGAATATGGACTAGAAGAGGAAGCTCAAAATTTTGTGACACCTACTTAGGATAAAACAATATCATCAATTCATTAATTAGGATGAAGGAAATAGATCAGGCGCCTACAAGGATCATCAGAATAGGAATAAAGATTGCTTGCGCTTTAGAACTTTTCATTCAATTGTTTTGGTTTTCTTTTCTGAAAATCTAGATTGTATCACCAGCCATGATGGTTTCCAATTCAAAAATATATATCAAATATATATATCTATAAACAGAAATGTGTTTATGATTATCTTATGTTTACGTATTATTAGACTACACAGGACAATACATGAAAGTTTGCTTTTGGTATCAAAAACACTTTTGGTCCCTAGATTTTCTTTCTTCGTTAGTTTGGTCAGGGATCATAAATAGTCTACGTGTAAGTCTTATCCTCATTCAGAATGACAGAGGGAAATAGTGGATGAAAAGCCCAATGTACATTAACTCAGCACCGTCAAAAATAGTTTTTGGCAAACAATTGCAACAAATAATACATGTGCAACAAAACACCCAGAAGTGTGAGCATTGAGCAAGCTCATGCAGAAAATTTTTTTCTCCCGACAAATGCAAAGACAGGTCTGAGGAGTAAATCTGACTCACTCATATATATATAATTGCAATGTACCGGCAATAAAACGAGCCACATTGAAATATAAGTATTAGGGTACGTCGCTATAATACTTTTGGTAAAATTCAAGAAATGGCATTTTCTGCGTTTCTAATATCTCGAATACGTTTCTTGAATGTTACCATTCCGAAGTTCCTATGTTGCAAACCTGGCATCCTAGGTATTATCGAACCCACTAACAATCAGTTATAATATTGATAAATAACCCACACCTTTCCTTCACAAATAGCGGACATTGAAGCGTTGCTCATTCAAAACTATTCGCATATCGTATTGCTTCATTCCAGTTACCGAAGGCTTTCTTCAAACTACTCTATTATTAGCGCTTGTCGATATTATTGTAAGTCAGCTATGGATACCGTTGTTTGCGTAGGCTTTCTTCTTTGTGTTAGTCGCATCGTATAAGGTAAATGGTAGCCTAATTCGTTGTCGAACCACGTATTAAGTTGGTCAGAAATCTTAACTTACATGAATTGGCAATGGGCTCTTCGGGATCAAAAAATAGCGTAACTGTACCAACTATTGGACAAAGCAAAGGTAATTTTAGTTGCACTCCTTGAAAAGTGTAATGAATATAACGTATAATGTAATGCCTATTTAGTTCACCAAGATTAAATATTCTGACATTTATTATTATTATTACTTGGCTTCAGTTAGTGATTTGAGTTTTGCATCTTTACTACGTCGACTCGAGGAAAAACAGACTGAAATCGAACGGTTGAAAGCTGCAAACCAAGCCCAACGAGAGGAGATTAAGAAATTGAAATATGAATTGGAGACCAGTCGTATATCAGCGACGATACAGAAACCAATCTCAAACAATGTGAGTAGCTGTCAAAAAATAACTTAGCATCATCATGTTTGGGAACGTGGCTATACTCTATATTCCTGTATAATTTAACGTAAATAACGTAATAGCTCTAACCTGACTCACTTTAGATTAGATGTCAAGGAGCAAACAATATCTGCGTTGCCAGATATTGAAAATTTGCACAATCGAATTGAAAAGCTTGTCATCGTAAATCACATAAGGAATGCTGTTCCCATGCAATAACAAGCATTATTAGTACTTAGTTGAAAGTATTGAAATCCATAATAACCATAATCTATATTAGTATAGAGATACAAGCATATACCCACAGATACGGTCTTCTTATCTATCTCGTAGTAAAAATAACATAGCTTCATTAATATTGAAACTCGCGGGAATCGGCAAACGAATATTTTTATCCGAATTGTTATAATTCGACGGTTTTCTATGTAAGCTCAGCGAATGGCAATTTGGTATAACGAACGAACTGTTCCAATAATAGATTTATCCCGGACTTTAGCCATCTTAACAGTTTCAAATAAGCGCTGTTTAAAGTTGGGGTTTGCAATTTAAGGGTTCAGACCTTCAGACAAAATGTACAAGATACTAATCTGAAAGAATTAGATTTACGGTACTTTCTTATTGATATTTTTATTGTAACGTATGGGAAGCATATTATGGCTTATAACATACCGGTATTTGGTGTCTGAATCTTTAATTGCACCTTCCTTTTGTGTTTCCGCAGGAACAACCGAATTTTAATTCTTCAAATCTTCTGACACCTGAAGATGTTATTTCGTCTCAAGTTCCTCAAGGCAACATGCCGAAGATTGGAGATCACGTGGTTTCAATGTGGGGCGCGAGCAAGTGGCAATATTTTACAGGTAAACATGGGCTTATACCTAAAAAAGTACGCTTTTGAAAGACAATTATGGATTGGAAACCCATACACTATAAGTCGAATGCGAGTTTCACTCTCACATGACCTGACCTTTGTCAAGAACGCTGGTTTTCGGGAGATGATAAAAACACGAATTCGATATTATTTCAAATTACTTAAAAATTACCTCATATATATTTTAGAATTCAATAAGTTAGAATTCAATTCGCTTCAAAATTGTACAATTTTTTGTGGCCAGTACCTCGGGCAACACAGAAAAATTCTGGGATAAGGCTTTCTTTCAATAAAGTTTTTATTTTAAAAGTATCGAATCAACTTGACCTTTATTTTCTTTAACAGCGACGATTGTTGGATTTGATTCCTCCAGCCTAAAGTATACAATAGAATGGGATGATGGAGATCCCACTGGACGAGTAATAGATTACTACAATCTTGCACTCGATAAAGTACCTTCTCCCGATCAAATTGGAGTTGGATCAAAAGTGCTGTTTCACCAGGGAGAGTGAGTATTTCACATGAACATTTTCGTTGATTGTTTTCGTATGATTCGCCAAAAGACGACATTGTTGACATTCGAGAACAAACAAAGTATTTATTTTAGAATAAAAGAATATCCGCCAAAACTCAGACTAACTCCCTGTTGGTGATTATTAGCCTACTATACCCACTGTGTAACCTTATCAAAAAAATCAACTCTGAATTGTGCAGAAAAATTGAATCGATGAACGTATTATTTGTTTGTCAGTGGTGCCATGATTCCCTAGTATATTAGACCATCTTTTTCCATTTATGTAGAAGCTAGGTTTAGGGGACAGACAGTCCTCATTGGCGATTTTTTATGTTGGGTCCAGTTGTTTACTTTCTAGTTATATGTTTGGTATTTATCTGGTTTCACTATTTAGACTATATAGATATTTGTGTCCACTGCTTCTTGAGCAGACTATTCAGTTTATCAAGTATTTCGTAGTTTTTTGTTTTAAATTTTATTTTGTTGTTTGGTCTCAAAGTTGAGAAAGAATATGTTTACGATAACTGTATATTTAACAAAAAAGCATAGATATAGAAATATCTCATCCATATCAATTTGTTTCAATCACAATTCATGAACATGAATAATTTGAAATGAGGTATCTTAATGTACGTAGTTTGCATTAATATATATTCTTTATGTCCATTCTGTTCAGGTGTGCAACTGCAGAGTAATAATCGAACATGAGTGTCAAGCGCAAAGTGTATATTATAGCAAAAATATCTTTTCGTACACTTTTTAATATTTTTCAATATTGTCGCGTCTATCGGTAATATTCTCATGTTTTCCGCTTTATAGCAGAGAATATAATCAAAATTATATACAGAAAAAAGTTAAAGTTGTTCTTTAGATACAAGCAGCAAGAAGTACACGGAGTTACAAGATCTGGCGGATTCAGATGGCACCAGGGAGAAATTACTAAAAGTGTCAGACAGCCGGACGGTACAAGGAAATACCAAGGCAAACATACAAAGGGGGCAAGTGACGGAAAATGGGTGTTGTACAAGGTGATGTTTAAACTATCACCAATGAAAGATAGCCACTTTCGTAATGTTCAAAAAGTAATATTGTTTTGTTGTTATATTAGGACTATTCTGAATATTTCTACAATTACAAAATAGATGATTTTCGAATGCCACCGAACGTATTTGACATTCTGGACTCCGTAACGGGTTAGTGAACTATCTATGTATATACTTAGTTTAAAACAACATAATATGTTATGAAGGTCAAAACGAAAGTATTTTGCTTTTATTTGCAACATTTCTTCAATCAGGGCCATCCGAAGGAACTCGCCCGCAGCAATCTGAACAAGGAAGTATAGATGTTTTCATATCCTATGCTAAAGTTAACAGTCCTGCAGCAATAAAAAATCATGAAATAGAGTCAAGTCTTCTTCCTCCATCGTATGAAGAAGTTATGATTGAAGAGTTATGCGATCCAAGAGATATAGTATCGCACTTGAAGGAAATGGGTTAGTGATTATAATGTAAAAAATGCAGAACATGTCACAGGTAACAGTCAAGGGGCACAATAAGATTTATATGCCATTTTATAGATCAAAACTTGTTACACTTTTGTCTGATTCAACAAGATCAAATCAGCAGTTGTTGTGCTATGGCATAATCTGCGCATAATATGTTTCGCGGAACAGGCTATTATAAATAATATTTAGCAAAAAAATGAAAAAAAAATTGATAATTTAACCCAGTGCCTTTTATACTTTTTCTGTGCGACTCTGTAATTTATTGAATATTTTTATTAATATGATGCATATAACGTTATAGGAGTTAGTGTTTACATCACAGAGGATATAGTTGATGATAATGAAGCAGGTCTGTTGGAAATTGTATCGGCTTTAAAACGGTCTAAAATCTTTATCGCATGTCTAAGCGATGAATACGCGAGTAACGACAGGTGTCGGATGGAATTTCAGTATGCAAAGAAAACAATGAGAATACCTGTTATCCCGCTGGTGGTAAGATCATTTGAAGGCATTCTGTCTTTTTTTTACAATCAACTGTTCCGTAACAGTCAAATTGTTTCAGGTCGGCACGGGTTCATTTCAGTGGAAAATGACTGTTGTCGGACTTCTCATTGCGGGGGAACTTTACATTCATTTCAAAGACAAAAGCGTGGAAGGATTCAAAATGAACGAACTTTTCCGCTCTATCAAGAAACATATTCCCGAACTTCAACTAAAAAACGTTAATTTTGCGGCGACTGGAAACGCCTCATTAGATCTCATAACAACGCCAGGACTAACTCTAACAGGTGTGTTTTTTTAATATTCTCGCCCGGGATACAAACGTCCACTTGCTATATGTTTTCGCGAGAATACGCATAGCCTATTTAATTTATCAATGGGTGAAAAAATGCATGGTTATGACAACTGACCCGTGGCCTCTGGCCCACTTCGCCAACACATTTAGCCTGGTGGAATTCAACTAAATATTTACTAGACTAATATTGAAATATATTATCATAACTTTACAATCATTGAATTTTGAAAAAGCGCAATCGCATTTTATGCATGCGTACAATTCACCTCATGCAAGTCAAGTGCTTCAGCTCATAATCATCATACCTCAATCTACCATGCATGTACGCTCTGTATTTATGTACCAAATTAAAATTTACGGTAGGGGTGTGTAGCATTTTTTGTCGGTGGGCCACATAACCAAATTCAGACATCTAGCTGGGCCCCAAAACAAAATTAGTTTTCCTATGTACACAACGAATTAAAAAAATATCGACTACTAGAGCGCCGGGGGAAAGGCAAGAGAAGAGAATGCGGCTATCGCTTTTCCTTCCACTAATAAAGGCACCGGGCAAAACGGCAACAAAATTAACGCAGAGACAAGAGGAAATATCATTAAATATTTTTACCTATGTAAGTGACTTTTCAATTAAGGATAAACTGTCAAATTAGGATTTAATGCTTGATGATGAAAAATCCGAGTGTTGATAAGGGCCACACTTAATGGCTTGGCGAGACGGGTTGTGGCCCGCGGGCCGTAACTAACAACAAGCTTCTCTGCAATATTTCCTGTTCCGCCTTAAATGCCAACTTCTGCAAATTCTAATATCAAGGTGCGCAACTCGAGACGGGAGTGCCTGACATTTTCTTCAGCTATTGTTGGTCAAACTCCAAGTCTGCTGCTGATAGAAATCAAATATCAAAATATATTGGAAACGAGTGGAATGATCCAAGGGAAATTGCAGACAAGTTAGCACAAGCAAGCGGAGCTGCCACGTGGATCGACATAAAACGTCTAGAAAGTGCTGCCGATGGCATGGGCATGGTAATCAAATAGATATACCTCTTATATATATACCAAACATTATATTCTGGGTAGAAAATTCAATAGCATCATCGAAACGAACTGTCAAGTCAGGAGATTATATTGAATATTATAAAAACATTATTACAGATATAAATGATCATGCGATACGATGTCCCCATTCTCGGGGACAAACGATTTTGGACAAAGAAATGTATGTGAGAATGCGTTGAAAATCAGTGTTATGCTGTACGATATGATTACTTGTAGCTCTTATAATCATATTCAGTCAGACAGAATTTTAAATCACCAAGTATTTTATTGCATTATTGAATATAATATTACTTTACAATTTTACGTTTAGTTTGGACAAATCGCTTCAGCTATCGGAGATTGCAAAGCGGCTGTGGCGTGTGTTAGCAATGAATATGCCAACAGCGATAATTGTAGAATGGAGTTACAATATGCTGGTTCTTCCTTGCAAAAACCGCTCATTATTCTCGTTGTGGGTGAGTCATAATTATAGAGTACTTTCAACAGTGATGAACCTAAGTTGCAAAAATGTAAAATAAACAAATCTTTCGTTATCAAGAAAGCTAACAAACTATTGTGCAGCTTGAACGAACAAGTAGGCTCAATTTTTTCCCCCATTGTTTCCAGTCTATCGTACACTTAATGCTGTATTGTATAACGTTGTCCTAATGCATGCAGTAATATTTTAGATCGTTTTTTATCTAAAATGTCTGTGATTCGGGAAATGTTCTTTGTTCTAATTCACAAGAAAAATTCACACTCTTTAGTTGTGTCATTATGTTGTCTTCTTTCTGAAACAGTTTTAAAATAGCCTACATAATTTAATGAAAATCATGATCTTTTAAACGTTTTTATGGCGGCGACAAAGGATGTCACAAGTAACAGTCAATGAAGCACAAATATATTTATAGCTCATTTCATAAATCAAACCTTTTGTCTGATTCACCAAGAAAAATCGTCCAGCATTCTGTTTACTCTGGAGAATATAGTATTATTGTGTTATATTTGTTCTCCATTGTTACAGCATACCCACGGTTAACAGTTCATTGGCATATTCTTTAGTCATGTCGTTGATCGTATTTGTTCTGCTTTATTTATGAGAACAGTGAAATCCGGCTTAGAGACGAGTTTGTAAATATCATGCAGCTGAATATTATGGGTTTTGACTCTGGCACCGCATTTCAACAAACTTCAATTCGCTTCTGTCCCGACTCACAAGACTTCAAAATGTCGACTCAGTATGCAATTTTAATGTAGAAGCAAAAAACACTCTATCCCGACTTTATCCCACTGCTATGTAACAGTCAACATGGTCGATCAAATAATAATCTTTAATAATATATATATATATCAAAGGCGAAGGGTCAGAGTGGAAGGAAACCGTAGTAGGGAAAGTGTCGTTGCTCGGAAATGCCACAATTAATATGCAAAATATAACAAGCACTGAGGAACTTGATCAAAAAATCACGGAAATCAAGTAAGTTGGTCGTGATGATTTAGGCTTCAATTTCAATGGCAAACAAGAGAGCTATGCTCAAATATATGGACACGTAGCGCCACCCAGTGGCAATAATTTTGATGACGTCATAGCGAAAAAAAAGTCTTCTGGAGAAAAATTTTATCTTTAACCACTGAAAATATCAAAGCAATTGGTCCAGTATTCGAAGAGAAAAGCGATTTTTTTAAAAATGGAGACGGAGACAAATAACAATAACAACAAAATTTTGAAACGATCGTTATGGCCACTAAACGTGTCCAATAATTCGTTATCGGGTACAATGAAGTATGCGTACCAAGTATTTGTACCTAAAATTATGGCCTAACCTTAACCAGGTACACATACTACGTCGCGGTGTCCGCCATCTTGGTACGCATACTTCAGGAGCGCCCGTTGTTGTAATGCCCGTTCTTGTTGTTAAAATCACGAATAACTGATTACAGTTTTGTTGTTACATGTTGTCAGAAACGCAATTTTTGAGGTAGATGCTTTTGAGGAATCGTTGGGTGATAATGTTCTAAGAGACGAAAGTGAAAAGGCATCTTCCGCGAATGAGCGAGTGGTAACGCTGAAAAAGAAGAAGAGAGCGGTAAAATTTTTCAAAGAAAAATCAAAAATTGTGACAAGATCTATTGTACCAACTTCACCTATAAAGTTCAAAGCTCCAATGATTGGAGACCATGTCGTCTGTTTGCATCAAGGATGGGCTTACTATACAGCCACTGTGGTCGAGTTTGACCCAACCGATCTTGTTTACACTGTTGATTGGGACGACGGCGATCCTTCTGGCAGAGTGCAATCTTATCAGGTAATGGAGAATTTAGTTTTCAATTTTCAATATTCGCAATTTGAATAACAATTATACCTATAATTAAAAAATGCAATTTTTATTCAATTTGTGTTTGCAACCTGATAAAAAGATATATCAATGGTAGGCTATTTGTGCCAAGTTCAGAAACTGTTTATGCTGTCAGCATAGTTAAACCACTGGCAACAGATTTTGATAGTGGCATATCATGGTAACAAAATTCTAGTAATTCGAAGAACGCCTCGTCTTCCGAACTGGGTAAAATTGTGTTTTGCTGTCTTATACAGGTGATATGTATATATATATATATATATATACATATATATATATATATACAACCATGATACGTCTGTTTTTCTTTATATATATATATATAAGAGATAGTGGAGATACCGAATGGTATGAATCCATTGAAAAGTTACTTTGCTATAGCACGTTTTAAAGAGAGGCTTCGAGCGCACATTCAATATTGTTCCTTTTTTGCACAGGATGTTGCAAAGGATGTTATTCCTGATTCTTCTGAAATAGGGGTTGGATCAATTGTAATTTTTCCACAAGGCTCCTATGGTGAAACTGAGGGAAATAATACAGGTGGAGAGCGTTATCACCAAGGCAAAATTACTTCAATTGACACAAGAGAAGATGGAATCACCCGGTAAAAATACATTGTATTTTGCATAAAATATAAACAAATAAATGGTATTTTGAGTGAAAATTAGATGAGAGCCGGTATTATTTTAAAAGCAATTAATAGAAATCTGAGTCAAACACAATAAAAAGTAAATTGAACGAAGTGCGACTCGAAATATTCCCTATCCAGTTTCAGAACTTGATGTACTGTCAAACTGCCACATTTTCTGATTTAACGTAGTAATAATTCATTTTTGTAGTAGATGTATTTTTTGTGATTGAGCTGTGGATAGCGTCTTCATGATAACTAATACAGAACAAGCAAATTCCTCAAATACAAATACGTTGTGTCGTAACTAAATTAGATGCTTATTATAAAATGTAGATCTTTGACCCTTAATTCTTAAATTTAGGTATAATGGAATACACACGAAAAATAAAGATGATGGCAAGTGGGTGACATTCAGAGGCTACAATTCTTCTTTCCAAAATTTGACGTTGAATCAACTACGTATTTCACCGAATGCTATGGATGCACTTATGGCTTGCAAGCAAGCTTTCAATTTGAATGGCTGAGGTTTAACAAAATATCACTGTCTTGATTTAACAGTATTAATACCTTGTTAACTATAGTTCGTAGTTTTCAGTTCACAATTTATATATATATTACTTTGTCTTAAATAAATATCATGCATTACAAATAAATTCACGGTTTATATTTCTGTATCTAACCAACGATTATCATGTAATATTTATATATATATGATTAAGTTATACTGTACTGTTTTTGTTGTCATCTTGATGAAAACAGAGTTTTTACAAATGCCTAGCTGTCAATTTTTAATGGGCCTTAATTAGTATGCTGGTTGATATTCTACAAGTTTTATTGAGGAGAGGTGATTAAACGCGATTCACAGATTTCAGCAGCAACCCTCCTAGTGCATCGATGACTTGAGATGTAACAAGAGAGCAATGGTTATATATGTGGACACGACATTCCAATGACTATGCGCAGTATCTGTCATTTATTCGCCTCACACTTGGCTCTTGACGAGCAGCTGCACTTTCAACAATAAATGCATAACATAGGCGTAGATAGGAGGGAGCGAGAGGGGCCATGACCTCTCCCAAATTACCAAGATTTTCATTCCTAATCAACCAATTTTTGTGACATTTACTATTCAGTCGCAGTTATGCTTGCTAATTACATTGCATCGTGTGATATTTCGGGGAAAGAACAACTAAGCATTGATTTGAGGTATGTGGGCGGTAGCGAAGTGTGCGAGCGCTTCACAGGATTTGGAAATGGATTCCGTTTCTGCCAAATCAATTTTATCAAATACTTTGGCCCACCTCACTGGGATAGGACTGGATCAAATTGAGACGTATAAGGGTGATTTCAGTTGGTCTTTCTCATAATTATCGATAAGGGAGGGAATTTCAAACAATCCGTCTCAAAACTAATTTAGTGGTCGATGACGTAATCTGTGGCGTTTTGTCTACACTCCAATTGCCTCACCCAAATGGTAAACTGCGAACTGCCGGACTTCGTTTTCGTTACGATTACGACAGCCATCGTCGTGCAATAGGATAGGATTTACATATTTATCCCGGGGGAGAGGAAAGCCGATAAGACGGCTTATCCATATGGCGAACCACAGCCTCTCGTCCGGTTACCACTCCAAGTCGGGTATGGGATTAACTTTACTGTATTGTTTGTTTTCGGAAGCATGGACTTGGTGGTGGAGGGAGCCGTAACCGACCCAACGACGGCGAGGAGTCCAGCAATCCTCTCGCACATAACCATCCCTGCATGGGATTCGAATAAACGCTAATAAACGCTTCTCGCAAGAGAAGATTGGATTATGACGTAATAATGAACGAATGCATGATGGAGTAAATGAAGACGCTCACGTGTCTTCGACGTAAATAAAGTATGCACGAATCATAACACAGTAATACCGGTATGTTTGATCGAAACATGATGAATCGTATCTTGCAGTTTATTTTCCCCTTAAAATAACCAAGGCGAGAAGAGCCGCATTAAATCGGAGCAAGATCCGCATGCGGCTCGCCACCCCTGTACTACTGTACCAGCGACAGTAAACGGATTGGGTTTTAGTTTTTTTAGTGACCGTGGAAGTTTTTCCAAGAAATTTAGAAATAGGGTTTGCATATTTATTCGGGGCAGAGTAAAGACGATATGACAGTGATATCCTTGGTTTTTATGAGTGCCATTCAAAGAAAATGTTTAAAGGTGTTATACAAATTTATATTTCAGATGTCCCTATATTTTTATACTATAGTGTGTGTGAAATTGTTCAGCATTTGATCAGACATTCGACAAACGTCTGGAAATGCCAGATAAAAAGATTACCTCAGATGTCACAAAAACCTTCAGATATGAGCATTTAGTTGCAGGTTTGAGCGGAGGAGTTACATCAACATTGGTGCTGCATCCACTCGATTTAATTAAAATCCGATTCGCAGTTACAGATGGACTAACTTCACGACCCAAATATAAAAGCTTGTGGCATTGTGGAACCACAGTTTGGAAATTGGGTGGAATCCGAGGATTATACAGCGGAGTAACCCCAAATATTGTTGGAAATGGCCTTAGTTGGGGACTGTATTTTTTTTACTATAATACATTTAAAGTGTCATTAGGAGATGGGTCGGCAAATCCCCATTTAACGGTTCCTAAATATCTTTTGTGTGGATGTATTTCGGGCTCCATGACCCTTGCCCTTACTAATCCAATCTGGATTACAAAAACCCGACTTTGTCTTGAATATGAAACACAAAATCAGCGGTATCGTGGAATGACCCATGCTTTAACTGTTTTATATAAGGAGGATGGTTTCAAAGGTTTGTATAAAGGTTTCGTTCCTGGCTTAGTCGGGACATCACATGGGGCAGTACAATTCCTTGTCTATGAGAATTTGAAACATTGGTACAGGGATAAGCATGGCCATGGCGTGGATTATAAAATGGGTGCTATGGAATGTATTTTGATGTCTGCAGTTTCAAAAATGATTGCAGCAAGTTCAACTTATCCGTATCAAGTTGTTCGTGCAAGGTTACAGGATCAACACCAAAGATATAATGGTGTTACTGACGTTGTCAAAAAAACATGGAAAAATGAGACATGGAGAGGATTTTATAAAGGTCTAGGAGCAAACTTGTTGCGTGTTACACCTGCTTGTTGTATAACGTTTTATATGTATGAAAGCGTATCACATTATTTGATACATGGTTCTACAGCCAACAAATCGTCATAAAATGATGAAATTTTTGGTGCAATCGTAACTTCTTTCAATACTGTTCTAATTTATTAATTCTAATTTATTCACTACAAAATTACTTCAATTTTTTGTTTTTTTAATTCAATAAATTTAATTTTCGATAGCACAATTATTGAGTTCAATCTTATTACAATAATCGTTTCTGTATTAGACAATCTTTTTATTCCGTGCTCCATAAGGGGCTTTCTATGCTAAATATATACAGCTGCAGTGTGATGAATATGGCATGTTTGCTTCACTCACAACCATTGTGGTTTTGCCAACAACTACACCAATTTTTCAATAAATTGTTATGACTGATTCTGGAAGTGAATATTAAACAATCATATTATGATAGGATTTAGAAACTCTATATTTGAATAATATTTATTGTTATTGATATGATTTATCCTCTTCAAAGCAAACTTAACAAATCAAAGTTGTTAGATGAAAAATTCTTTATTTAAACCGTATATATGATATTGCATAGTAGGCCTACATATTTAGCTAGTTTTTAATGTAACTGATAAATTTTAATTATCTTATATGATTATCAGCGTCTTCACAAATAATGTGACATTTCATATTCATCATGAAGACCACCCTAGACAAAATATCTCTCCATTGTTTTACCACTGTTCTTCATATTGTTAGGCTTATGGTTGTTGAATAAGTTTGTAATGCTGCAAAGTGGCAATGCATCCATCAGGTTTACTCATATTGACAACTCATATATCATCACTATGTAAAGGTGATGCTGTGGCAAGAATACTGACCAATGTTGGAAAATTTGTGAAATCAACTCTGTATGTTCACTTGATCAATGTTCATGGTAGTACAAGCATAAATAAAGATTCTAGTTTCACCGTATCCAACTTACTTCATTCAACTGGTTCTCGCCCTCTAACACCACATACCTTCAATGCAGATGTTCTGCCATTTGTGACAAAATTTTATTCACAATGTGCATTACACTGTGGACATCTTGATGTCAATGTACTTCTTCACAATATTGGGGAAAGCTCTTCGCACCCTCAACCTCTACCAAAACCAATAAATTGCATTCTGGTGGATTTGCCAAAAAGCAGTGATGAAGTGGAAGACACACTTAGGACATATGTTGATTCAACTTATTCCACCCTCAAAGATGAAGCAGGTGCTACCTCACAAGGCACTTCAGTAGATCCAGTTGAAAAGATGCCTGTTTACACTTTCAACCTCACAGATAGTGATGTAAAATGCGACAAGTCCGATGAAAATGTAGGAAAAACATCTACCATAATAAAAAAAGAAGCGGTTGTATTGGGTGGTACGTTTGATCACTTGCATTCTGGACACAAAGTTTTGCTTAGTGAAGCAATCCTAATGGCAAGCAGGAAGATTGTTATAGGTGAGGCATTTTATGATGTCACAATCATGGTGGTGAGTGTTTAATAGGGCTATTTTTCAGAAATACATCAATATGCCTTCTGTCTTTATCCACTATGTTAATGGAGTTTGCCTCTGAAGTCTGAATTTATTTAAATAACATGTTCAGTCAAATATTTGTATGTGGTTGGAGTGTTGAATAATCATATTGTAGTTTATTGAAAGTTTCAATTTTTATTTTGTAGGACTTTCAGATGGACCACTTCTTGCAAGAAAAACTTTAAAAGATCTCATTCAGCCCATATCTTTACGAAAGAGACTTCTTGAAGAATTTATATTATCTGTTGCAAGGTTTGGGATTTTTTACTTGAAATTTGAAATATTTATCCCTGAAATTAGATATTTTGGCCATTTGGCATCTGAAGATCTTACCACTACATGCTCATTATACTAAAGTGACTGTAGAAATAGTAAGCCAGTTAAAACAATGTTAATCTCGACCTTTCTGCACTATAAAGTTACCTATGCACTATGAATATACAGTGATTTCTGCATAGAATATTATAGAATATGACCACAGATATATCAATAGCCTACTCTCTTTTTGAAAATATTTTTTCTTACTAAATTTGTTCAATTTTCCGTCATCCCCGATTGTAGTTTTTTATTGAATTATAATAAAAATATTCCATTACTGATTTTTATATATGATGCCGATTCATAGTGTTAATACTCAAATAGACACCAGAGTCAATAATGTAAAGTAGTAATTTTATTGTATAAAAAGACCACAGTAATATTTGGCTTGATCAATGATTCCAATTTCTGTCATCAAGTTGTCTAGGATAAATGGTAAATATTTTATACTGAAGTTACCTTAAAAGCTGATTTGTCAATGCTTCACTTTATTTTCAGGCCTGGTATTGAACTTATCATTGAGAGCATCAATGACCCTTATGGCCCATCCATCGTTGATCCAGATCTTCAAATGATAGTAGTCAGTAGAGAAACGGAAAAAGGTGGTCATATGGTTAATGATAAAAGAAGAGAAAGAGAATTGTCTATATTGGATGTACATATCATTGGACAAGGTAAAATATTTCTATTATTATCAAAAAAAAACTTTCGTTCACAAACTCTTGGTGCTAAGTTGAGCTATAATGATGCTCACTCTTTGATAGAAGCAAATCAAATCTTCTGGATAAAATCTGGTAACTCGCAGTGGTGACTTTACCGAACTTGTGACTTGCGAAATGGAAATCAGTAATTCAACTTGAATAAGATTTAGAATTTGTCTAAAACTTGTTAAAATTTCACTATGTATCAAAATTTTATGCATTGATATTTGATAATCAATAACAAGTTGATTTAATCAATATTTTACTAGAATTTTCCTTATGCATGAAATTATGATTGTATTTTACAGGTACATTACTCGAGGACTCTACATCTGATACTATTCCTTTCGAAGAGAACAAAGCAAGTTCTTCGAGTGCTAGATTTCGTCTTCTTGGTACATTGCTGAAGCCTAGCAAAGATTTATCTCTTGATTTTATTCCAACTTCAAAGATGCCAATTATTCCTTACATAATCGGCCTCACAGGCGGAATCGCTGCAGGGAAATCATCTGTGGCTAAAAGAATGGAAGAAATGGGGGCTATAATCATTGACTGCGATAAATTAGGACATAAATCTTATATTCCTGGTTCTAATGCGTACACTGCAATTGTCAAACATTTTGGAAAAGAAATTGTATCTGATATAGATTATGCAATTGATAGAAGAAAGCTTGGTGCGAAGGTCTTTGCAGACAAATCTCAACTTAATTTTCTCAACTCGGTAGTCTGGCCTGAAATCGAGCGCCTGTGCAAGCAAGAAATTTCTAATCATATGCAAGAATTGATAAGTGTGGGTACTTTTTTTTGTTGAACTTTTTGCAAGGTCATAAAATTAGAGTGGTAAGCAGGGATGAAGGTCATCATGATTGTATCTAGCATAAAATTCGAAAATTGATTAATTTTTATACACATTTCTAAAAAATTTCTTTCGGTATTTAACCAGATTAGATTTTTTTTTTAGTTTAATTTTTTTTCTTAGGCCAAAGATGTATCAAAGCCTGTTCAAGTTTTTGTTTTGGACGCTGCCATTTTATTGGAAGCTGGTTGGAATGGTTTTGTACATGAAGTCTGGGCGGTAAATGTACCTGTGGAAGAAGCAATCCAACGAATCATTGAACGTAATAATATTTCTGAGGAAGACGCAAGGAAGAGAATTAATTCACAGTCAACAAATGAATGGAGGACAGAGAGAGCTAATGTCGTTTTGAGTACGCTTTGGGATCCAGCAGTAACACAGAAACTGGTATATTTGTTTTACTTTCCACAAGTGTGCCCATAAAACAAAGACTTGAGTACAAAACAGAAATAAATATTTGGTGTCCTGTTCATCTCCATTTAATCACACTTATAATAATCAATAACCACAGACTCAAAATAATTATAATAATTATTGAAAAAATTAAATATTAAATTAAATAATTATTTGATCACGAAAGTTGATTACTTAATCCTTATAAAAACGTGTTTTAAATAAAAAGGATCTTTCCACAAAGAAAACTAGTACTAGTTTCAAGGTGATAATATGGTGTGTTTTCACGCTTCATTTGCCCACCTCTGTCTAGAATTAAAAATGGAATTATTGTGTCCAACTAACGCTGATCTCATATTTTTTTAGATTGAGAAGTCATGGGATTTGCTTGGACAAAGGCTTAATAAAAGGACTTCAAAAGCGAATCAGTGTAATATGGCATCATCTGTAGGAGATAAAAGTCACAAGCTCTAATATGCATGGTGCAGTATCATTTTCTTGTTGCGCCATTTGTTTGTTTTGCTTCATCTCTTGAGAATCTTTTAGTTTTGTGCAACCGATAAACTCTAACTCTTCCTTAAACACTTTATTGTTGCCATCAGTAGTGGGTATTACCTAGTGACTGATGTAAGTAAATTTAATTATGTGAAGTTGATTTCGTATTAATCCTATATAACTGTGCAACATTTTTCGTTAAACATAAAAATTGGGCTAAAAATTAGTCTAAATATATTAATTTACTTGTAGAGTTTGTGGTTATATATATTCTGAATATGGCTATGGGTACCTTCCTTTACACATGGATTGCTTTGGACTTCGATATATTTCAAAATAGTGTGATTGGTTCCGGTTTGACATTATTATAGACAATATGTTAAATTGTGATCAGGTGTACATTATTACACAATGTTAATAAGTGTTATTGTTGTTTAAATTCCGTTAGTTATGTTTAATTACATTCTATGCAAAATAATTATTGTAATTGTGTTTTGGGATTGGATTTATTTTGTGGGAGACGAAATCTGCTTAAGTGAAGCTAAGTGTGATGCGCAAACCGCCTTTCTTTTTTATTGGACCACAATATAGTTTAGAAGGACAGAGTACTCAAATTTTCAACTTCCAATAACATGGTGAACATAGTTACTTTCGTTACACGCATGAATATAGAAATATTCAGGTAATAAATATTGGGGAGCCACAGGTGAGAACAGCCATATTAAATTGCAAGATTGTTAAAATTGTTTGCTGAAAATAATAGAAGCCACCAGGAATCCGCAGACGTTTGAATGCGGGTAGTGAGCCTCCAGTAGCATTGGGGTTCGAAACTGATTTTGGAAATATTGCACAACCACACCGCGATTTTTCGTTTCAATTCAGAAAGCACACACATGAACTTAATAACGAAAGGTACAATAATTTGAAATATTAAGGTGTAGGCTCGACTTGTAAACAGGAGCCTATTGAGGCACAAATGTTTGTAGGCACTTATCATGCTAAGTAGTCATAATTTAGCACTCGATCAGTAATGAATATTGAAAATACCTTATTCAATTTTAAAATTAGATGACAAGGAACATTCCTATTATTAATATTTCTTGTATATAGGGCACAAAAGTTTAGGTTCTTAGGGCATCTAAAGGCCGCGATCCGGCCCTGTTTGGCCAAAGCTCGAATATCTCCTTCATGACTCAATACAAAAATAAATTACAAAACAATCGAATTCTTTAAATTTCTGTTTGTACTCCTTAATACGCCGCTCTCCCTTACCCTTTCTGTCAATGCTATCCAAATTTGGCTGACCCTTCTCTGTTAGCTTCTTTTTATTTCTCATTGCTGACTCTTTGCCTCTGCAAAAAGATAACTCTTTGACTTATCTTGACAAGATAAGTGATCTAATGATCAAGCTATGACTGCGATCTATAAATAATTCGATTCTCATATCTTACACTGTTCAAATTGATAATGATACCCCATTATAACTAAACGTACTTAAATATAACTTTACAATTCTTTAACAATATTAGCTACTAAAACTTTTGTGGTAACGTAAAATGCCCAAATTCAACAGCTCCTGTTAAGAGAATCTAGCTGTCCCATTTCTCTGTCTATCAGGAGGACTTTCGCACGTATGGAAATTGAAGCCCTGAGTCACTTTGGCTGTTCCGCGATTTTCTCACATATTTTGAATTGTTTGTAACCAGGGTATACATTACTACATTCTCCTTTTCGTTTCTAAAATTTGGTTTTATCGTGATAGAATGATATGATATAAACCCATCCAAAATAAGTTATTTATAATATAACTTTCAATATTCCATCCCATATGAATATCACTAATTTCTATGGATTAAATTAAGCGATGAACCTAATCCTCCCCCCTGAACTGGGGTCAGTAGACTCGCTCACGAAAACACTCGAATTACCAACATAAGTAGTGTCGTAACGACTTATTACTTATCGATCTTAAGATCGGTAGTATGTTGATAGGTATTTGTCTGTCTGTCTGTTAGATGGACGCGATATCTCACGAAATCAAGGTTTAATCTGATCCAAATTTTGCAAGTGCAGCATCATATCTTGGACCATATTTTAAATGAATTGTGTCGTATAATTAGCGAGTTATCAATTAATTAGTGATGTGACACGCGGTGTCGCTATTGAGTCAGAGCGCAGTATACACACCGCTAGATCGATGGCGGTCTCTGATTGCTATCTCGTATTATTAGATTCATGGCTTTTTAAATTTGTGCAATATATTATTATTATCCGGCGTTTTCGCGCTTTCAACTTGAACAAGACTGTTTACAGGCTTCCACTGATACGTAAGAGTCTACAACTTTGGTATTGCGGTACGGCATTGCCTATACACCCTCGGCGTGTATGCGAAGGGAGAGTCATTCCCTTAAAGGCACTAAGCACTTGAGAATTTGGTGCCCTATATTTGAAAACTAATAATAATACGAATGTAACTAGGGAATAAGTATGTTTCAATATTCATTACTGATTGAAGGCCAAATTATGATTAATTTACATGATATTTTTTTTGGAAATGGTTCTCTTGTCTCAAAGTTCTCAAACATTTATAAAGAGGTTTATGATGATACTTGTAAAACAAGCAAAATTGATTTCAACCGGGCCAAGATCGTCTGACCAACTCGAATCATTTCATTGAACTATTTTTGTGGTGTCCCCTATCACTTGGTGCCCTAAGCATGTGTTTAATTTGCTAAACCAGCCCTGGATGCAGCACAGTCATGATAAGTTGCATGTGCTGAGTAGCCCAAACGAGCATATGCTCTATTATTCAAATTCTCCGCAGCTGGGTTTCAGTAATCAGTAATTTATTTTATCACCATATAAGAAATACACACTGTACATACAGAACGAGATAGGAAGAGAGAGGGAAATAATGCATTTCAGGGTTTGTTTTCTTTATATTTTCAGTACATACAAAAACCAGATATATATAGTAAATAATCTAAACTCAAACGATTGGCTTCTAAAAAAAAACGTTTTCCGTGATGAAAAAAAGAAGAAAACAAACAAGATGAGATATACGATGAAGATATTGAGCTGGACACAAATGCGATACAGCCAAGGCCGGATGTACCATTAGGCAGTGTGGGCTGAAGCCTTGTGGATTCGGCGTTCAATTCTATATATATTTATAAGTCGTATTTTAATTTAAAAAAATTGTTGCAGATTTTAACCAGTTTATTTTTAATCAGGTCAATAATCCTTGGCTGAAATATTTGTAAGATTACATAATTCAATACGATCGAATAAATGAAAAACTCTATCCCTTGACTTTAAAAACAAGGTTTCCCTTCAAAAACGTGATTATTTCCTTCCACGATTCTTCTTGAGCATCAGAATGATATTTCATAATGCCCCCGAAATCAGTTGGTATGCCGGGATGCCCTTTTGAGTGATAGTGGTATATAATTGGAGGAATAAAAGGGGGCCAAATTAAATGCCCAGTATTTGTATATTTTACAAATTTACACGAATTATGCCCCGATGTTTGGAAGAGCTGTTTTGCAATAGACATATTTTCGTCGCAATCCATTATGCCGTCATCATCTCCATAGATAAAAAGAAACGATGCGTCGGACTTGAAAAAATGGGGCATGTGTTTTTCAGTTTCAACTACGGAGGGTATAGTATGAGTTTTGGCGTGGTTTTGAAAGCCATTGTTAATTGATATTTTCTGCTCATCGAATTCGACCGACTTCCAAACTCGTTTTCTGTAATGAATGTCAATTCCCAAGCAAGCGTATGTCATACCACATATGTCAACGACACACTTGATGCTCGGTGAGAACGCCGAAATTGCCAAAGCTATCGTTTAATTACATTCTATGCATAATAATTATTGTAATTGTGTTTTGGGATTGAATTTATTTTGTGGGAGACGAAATCTTGTTAAGTGAAGCTAAGTGTGATGCGCAAACCGGCTTTCTTTTTTATTGGACCACAATATAGTTTAGAAGGACAGAGTACTCGAATTTTTCAACTCGATCAGTAATGAATATTGAAAATACCTTCTTCAATTTTAAAATTAGATGACACGGAACATTACTAATATTAATATTTTTTTGTATATAGGACACCAAAGTTTAGGTTCTTAGGGCATCTAAAGGCCGCGATCCGGCCCTGTTTGGCCGAAGCTCGAATATCTCCTTCATGACTTAATACAAAAATAAATTACAATACAATCGAATTTTTTTAATTTCTGTTTGTATTCTGTAACGCTCGTTAGCTCTCCCTTACCCGTTCTGTCAATGCTATCCAAATTTGGCTGACCCTCTTCTGTTAGCTTCTTTTTATTTCTCCTTGCTGACTCTTTGCCTCTGCAAAGAGATGTCAAAGACTTTTCTTGACAAGATAAGTGATCTAATGATCAAGCTATGACTGCGATCCATAAATAATTCGATTCTCATATCTTACACTGTTCAAATTGATAATGATACCCCATTATAACTAAACGTACTTCAATATAACTTTACAATCCTTTAACAATATTAGCTACTAAAACTTTTGTGGTAACGTAAAATGCCCAAATTCAACAGCTCCTGTTAAGAGAATCTAGCTGTCCCATTTCTCTGTCTATCAGGAGGACTTTCGCACGTATGGAAATTGAAGCCCTGAGTCACTTTGGCTGTTCCGCGATTTTCTCACATATTTTGAATTGTTTGTAACCAGGGTATACATTACTACACGTAACGACTTATTACTTATCGATCTTAAGATCGGTAGTATGTTGATAGGTATTTGTCTGTCTGTCTGTTAGATGGACGCGATATCTCACGAAATCAAGGTTTAATCTGATCCAAATTTTGCAAGTGCAGCATCATATCTTGGACCATATTTTGAATGAATTGTGTCGTATAATTAGCGAGTTATCAATTAATTAGTGATGTGACACGCGGTGTCGCTATTGAGTCAGAGCGCAGTATACACACCGCTAGATCGATGGCGGTAGGATAGGATAGGAGGATAGGATTTACATATTTATCCCGGGGGAGAGGAAAGCCGATAAGACGGCTTATCCATATGGCGAACCACGGCCTCTCGTCCGGTTACCATTCCAAATCGGGTATGGGATTAGTTTTTACTGTATTGTTTGTTTTCGGAAGCATGGACTTGGTGGTGGAGGAAGCCGTAACCGACCAGCGGTTACGTGAACCACCCAACGACGGCGAGGAGTCCAGCAATCCTCTCGCACATAACCATCCCTACATGGGATTCGAACCTGCGAACCCACGCAGAGTAATTAGAGGTGCGGTGGCGAGCGTATTCCTAACGCTTAGCCCGTTGAGCCACACCGCCGCGACATGCCCGGTCTCTGATTGCTATCTCGTATTATTAGATTCATGGCTTTTTAAATTTGTGCAATATATTATTATTATCCGGCGTTTTCGCGCTTTCAACTTGAACAAGACTGTTTACAGGCTTCCACTGATACGTAAGAGTCTACAACTTTGGTATTGCGGTACGGCATTGCCTATACACCCTTGGCGTGTATGCGAAGGGAGAGTCATTCCCTTAAAGG